CGGTCTTCGAGATCTTCTTGACCGCCGAAGCCCCCCTCGAAGTCGTGGCTCTGTTGCTTTTTGGCGCTCTCTTGGTTCTGCTGTAATTCCTGGCGGATGGCTTCTAGTTGGGCCTTCTCCTAAGGGTTGATTGTAAGTGTCCCCAGTTGCTGTTGCAGTCTGCATGAGAGCTGGTACGGCGAACCTTGTCATTGACATAACGGCTCTCCTCGGCCTGCTCTCTCGATTTCCAGGCCCCATCCTTGCAGAGAGTGGGTAAGGCGCATCTCATAAATGGAACCATGGATTATTGCTTACTTGCGCTGTCGTTCCGGACATACTTGAACAATTTATAGTCGATGATGGTGTTCAGTACTTGGTACTTACAGTCGACTCTGTCTTAACCCATACCTGTCATAACCCATAACCTGTAATAACCCATAGGTTTTTGGCTTCCACCGACATGGTAGATAGTAAAAACCCATAAGTCTGCCGTATCCCATAACCCATAGCTTTCTGAAGGGTCATAACCCATAAAACAACCTATATTAGGAAGGTACAGGTCTTCCTTCTCACGAGAATCTGGACCATCTGAACCCTTAATTTTTGGTTCTCGTGGTATTTCAGAAGATAACCCATACCAGACTCAAGATTCCGTATCTAAACGGTGTCATAAACGACGTCCGGCCTATACCGGATAGGCTGTCTGTCACGTGTACTAGGTAGTCACACAATGTCACACATTCTGGTAACCCATAGTCTGCAGAAACCCATAACTTTTGGGTTCCACGACCCGTTATGGGTTAAGACAGAGTCGACTGTAGTATTCGCGTTTGTCTTACGCAGTGACGTCAAGCTCGAGGTCTAAGACATACCGGCAACTGCCGGTGCCAAGTATCTGCTTCTGCAAGAATCAAGACGTCCGACTTGCGTCCGACACGCCAAGTACCGTCTTGACCGTCTTGCCTGGTCCTGCTCAGGTCGTATTCAAGGCAGACGACATCCCATGCCTCGCTGAACTGCAATTTGAATTTGATCGCTCAATGCTTTTCTTCTGTCTCGTAGGCACTGCCAGGAGCCCAGAAGCCCAGATCCTCAATCATATGCATTTGTGCTCGGGTGTCGGGACAAAGTATTGGAGAACGTCCGGTCACTGGCGCCGTCGTTTGGTTCCCCGAGTGCGTGGTGTGGTCGTGTCTTCGAGGTGAATGTGACGCGCCGCGACGGTATCTCGATAATACAGGCGCCTCGAGGGCCTTGCGGAATACGTTCCCGTTATCTGTCTCGGCGATGAGCTCGGACACTGAGGGCTGAGGCCTGAGGACCGAACCGGTGCGGTGGCCTCCATCGACATCTGACCTTCTTCCAGTACGAACCCGTCCTCATCTGGGAAAAGGATATCGATCCCGAACATTTTTTTCTTATCTCTGATGGGCTCCCCGGATTGTACTCCTTTGCGATCATGCTTCTCTGTCACATACAAAGTATATGATACTTAACTCCGCACTCGCACTCCCCCCCCCTTCATCCTGCAGTCGAGAACAGCTCGTCCAGGTTCTTGCCATGGGGCCTAAAAGTACTGACCTCGCGTCCAAAGACACGTCTGATGATGCCGTTCTGCGAAGTTTGGGCTACAAGCAGGAGTTTAAGCGTGCATTCAGCCCACTGGAATTGTTTGGTGCTGGATTCAGCTTTATCGGCGTGGTGTCGTCCATCGCGTACGACCTTTTATGCTATTTGGAGGTCGCGAAGTATTTGACAACTCAATGCAGATCTACCCTTGTCTATACGCTGCCCAACGGTGGCCCCTTCTCTATGATCTGGGGGGTATGTCTTCCCCATGGCCATAAAAATACTCCGTGACGCGTACCCTGACAGTGGGCTATATGCATGATATTCATACTTACCATGTCTCTGGCGATGGCGGAACTTGGATCTGCAGCACCGACTGCAGGCGGTCTATATTATTGGACGTTTTCATACGCGTCCCCCCGATGGCGCCGCCTTCTATGTTGGATTGGTACGTTGAGGCCACATGGTCGCAATGATGCCTATAGCTAACTTGACTTCAGTCGGTTGTAAGTCTTACTAACACAGGGCCCTTCAGCGTATGTTGAACCCAGATCTGTCTTGGGACGTCTCAGATGCGAATACAATCAACAGTATCGCGGGTTTCTCTTCAACAATATGGGGTGCAGCTGTCCAGATTATGGCGGCAGTCAGCATGGGCTCTGACTTAACGTTCACTCCCACCAACGGACAAATATAGTAAGCATGTTAAGACATCTGTACTTCCCTTGCTGACCCTTGACCCATCTGATGCAGCGGCTGCTATGTCGCGCTATTGCTAGTCCAAGCAGTGCTTTGCAGCTCCGCGACTAGGATTATCGCCGGGTTGCAGAAACCCTACCTAATATCTAACTTAATGTGCGTATCTGCGCCGCGTACTTTGCCTCTACTTCAACGACGGGTGTGACAGGCTAATTGCGGGAATAATTATCGCTCTCCCCGTGGCAACACCAAGAGAATACATCAACACGGCCAAATTCACCTTCACGGAGTTCGAGAATTGTAAATCGGTTAACCTTTCATTCCTGTTTCTTCTCGCTTATTGCTTGGACAGTGACGACTTGGCCTGCTGGATTTGCGTTTACTCTGAGTTTCTTAGCACCTCTGTGGACCATGAGTGAGTTTCACCGGCAGATTACTCCTGCGCCGGCTTAATTTAACCCCTAGGTTGCTTTGACTGCGTCGTACACATCAGCGAGGAAGCGTCCAATGCGAGCGTCGCTCTGCCGTGGGCCATCATTTCTGCAAACATGGTATCCGGCGTCCTTGGTTGGGGTGCGCAATCATTTCCCTATTTCGTTGTCAGTGATACCGTAAGCTGATTATAATGCAGGCCTGCTCATTGCAATCGGCTTCTGTATGGGTACGGATGTCAATAGCATCGTCTCCAGTCCCATAGGACAACCTTTAGCAGCGGTCAGTTCTCCCGCACTGCATGTTTTGGTAAAAATGCTGAAGGTCATCGTGTCCCTTCCCTAAAGATCTTCTACAATAGTTTCGGCAAGAATGGGACACTTGCGATGTGGGCCATCATCATCGTATTCCAGTAAGTCTTGAGGCGAGGCCCTCTTCTAAAAATGTTCCTACGATAACTGGTCACACAGGTTCATGGCGTCTATCAGCGTGGTTCGTAATAAGTCTAGACCCTCCCCCGTGCCATTCCGGACTGACTCTTGGTACCAGCTTACCGTTGGCTCGCGACAAGTGTTCGCCTTCTCTCGCGACGGTGCTTTGCCATTCTCCCGCTATCTCTACCGCGTCAATGGTTATACGCAGACGCCGGTCAACTGTGTCTGGTTCACTACGATCGCAGCTATTCTTTTGGGCTTACTGTCTTTTGCGGGCTCTGCAGCGATAGGTGCCGTCTTTACCCTCGGCGTTGCAGCGCAGTACATCGCCATCGCCATTCCAATTGCTTCGAGATTCACATTTCCGAATAAGTTCCGACCAGGTCCATTCACTTTGGGCAGTTTGGTGAGTGGAATCGTGTCCCAATGCGAAGGCAATGTCACCAATGATCAACTGAAATTTCGCAGGGCCGTCCAGTCGCTACTATAGCCGTCCTGTGGATGATGTTTTGCTTCGTCATCTTCTTGTTTCCTACGGACCCAAGACCGCCGGTACAGGATATGAATTATTCCATCGTTGTCCTTGGGGGTACACTCTTTTTATGTCTGGCCTGGTATTACTTCCCTCGCTACGGCGGAGTACATTGGTTCCAAGGTCCGATCCGCAATATCGACATAGACTACGAGAAGACAGATGGTGAGGAGCAGGTGATTGCGGAGACATCTTCACTCGAGAAAGGCTACGTGGACAAAACAGCGTAATTTCTTAGAAGAGAGGGAAAATTATGGTACACATCTCTGTGGCGATTGTACTGCCTTGAATAGATGCCACTATGACGAAACATGCTTTAAGAACGACCAGGTCGGGGAGACCATGTACGATTTGGTTGTCGATAGATATCTCGGGGCCCATTAGTACCCAAGCCTTTCGCCTCAGACATGCGTGACTTCTGTGGAAGTGACGTCCCTCGACTCTTCGACGAGAGGTTCGGAACTGCCTAAGGGCTATTGTCGAGAGACCCCTCGAGCGCGGCGAGAACGTCAACTTGAACTACCACTACAGGAAGAGTCCATTGACGATTCATGTTTTTATATACCTCGAGTGCTTGCACCGTACCGTAGGGGTGGAGAGACTAATGTAAAGCAATCTCGAGTAGTAATACTATAACCCATGAGGTTGGGATGATCATCCCATGGTGTAAAGAAGAGTCCCGTTACATCCGGCCCGGAATCCGGATGCTTCCACGTCTGAAATAGCAGTAACCGCCGGATAAGCAAGCAGCCAATCATACGCGAGACTGTACTCAACACGAGATTCCCTCGATCACATGCGCGTGGCAACTTCCGCTTCGGGCACTTCGGATTTTCGGATTGAATGCTTTCTGCACCGTTGAATCGTTTCCGATACTGGTTTCGTCCTTCCTTACTTTGACTAACGACAATGGCTGCCCGACAAGCGACGATATCTCGGAATACAGCTGAGACTCAGATCGAAGTCTCCATAAATCTTGACTGTGGACCGGGATCTGCTTCGCTCCAGACCATTGATATTTCCACTGGGATAGGCTTCTTGGATCATGTACGCTCTGCACCGAGATACGTGTGCCAGATTCAGGGGTAATAGCTGTTCTAGATGTACCATGCGCTGGCGAAGCATAGCGGCATGTCTCTGACGATGAAATGCAAGGGCGACCTTCATATCGATGACCACCATACAGCAGATAAGTGCGGCGGGAGGAGACATTTCCGCCACCATCGAGCCTGAGGAGACGCGCCATCTTTACAGGACAGCGCCATAGCATTAGGCACCGCATTCAAGCAGGCTTTAGGCGAGGTCCGGGGCATACGTCGGTATGGCACGGGTTTCGCACCACTGGATGAGGTACTGTACTTTCATTCTCCCCTGGTGCTTCTTACAATATCGATATCTTAGGCTCTGTCGAGGGCAGTCATTGATATCTGTTCACGACCATACTGCGTTACTGAGCTGGGTCTCAAACGCGAGAAGATTGGCGACATTGCGACGGAGATGTTCCCTCACATCTTCTACTCTTTCTCAATCGCCTCGGGCGTTACCCTCCACATCGATGTTCTAAGAGGTCAAAATGATCATCACCGGTGTGCAATCATGCTTGTATATTCCTTGGACTCCTTTACTAAGATTTTCACCGAACAGGATCGAGTCTGCATTCAAAGCGCTTGCTTTAGCGATCCGCCAGGCTATCGAGCGGACGGGCGGTAATGATGTACCTAGCACGAAAGGTGTCTTATAGTCCATCTCCGAATGATCAGCCCAAACATCATCTCGGCCAGGTGGTCGAGCCATGCGCCGAGATCTTAGGAATCTCACGGATATCAGAGCCGCCTGTTCCTACGAGCGAATGTGCCAGGAGCTCACTTCAGAGAAAATAATGTAGGCAAAAGCTGGAGTCCTTTATAGTGGAGTGCCTGAAGACGGCTGTGTTCACGTAGTAATTCGCTGATAATCTAGAGCAGGAACACGCAGAAGCCAGGCCCTAGGTGGAGGACCTTTAGGATGGGTACCCGCGGGCATTGACCCCCTGAGCGTTTGGTGATCGTAGGCAGTGAACGCAGCGATCTGCATTAAGATCCGTACGTGCACGACCCTGACACCCTTATCTGTCAAGAAACGGGGGTAGGGACCGTATAAGGACGTCCATAAGTGCGTGATACTATTCAATGTTCCTATTTTGAACTGTGTATGGTGCCCACTGAGAACCCGAGCTCTCACCCATGCCGCGGAGGTCGATCACCACCGCGCATCGTGTTACTGCTGGTGGCGCAATCATCATTCTCAGAATCAGCGAAGGTTCGACAGACTGTCATAATCTAGCTACCGGCGGCGGTCATCCGGTACTGCTGTCACAGGGGATAGATTCCGACCATTGATTCGTTGTTACCACAGCTTGGCTCAGAGGAGCCAAGCTACTACGGTGCTGTCATCGATTTTCTGCCATGTCAGATCACTATGTTTAGCGCATGGATATCGCTCACTACGACCAAGAAGCTGGTATTCAGTTGGCCCCGTGCGTAACGTTTACTTGATGGCGGCTGTAGCATTCAGTTTACTGAATCAGCGGGACAGTACTCGCCACATGCTCTGCAGAAGTCGTAACCTTGTAACATTGGTCATAGGCTCGGAGCTTTCACGGGGACACGATGCTAAGTGCACGAACACTAGGTATTCAGTGCCCATCAGGATGCCGCCCACATCGCCACGGTTCCCTTGGGATCGACGTCCCTGATGTAGGGTTCGGGTTCCAGCCACATAATCTGATAAGGCGAAATGCCATAATTGACAGCTTTGGAGAAGGCCGCCTTGAGCATACGAAGCAGTAGTCACGGATGGCTTCGCGTAGCCGATTCACGGCCCGAGCTTTATGCAAGCCAGAACTTGCACAGCACTTCAGTTGTCTTAGATCCTTCTAACGTTAGCCCCTGGATGCATTTCCCATTGGCACCCTAGGAAGGCGATTAAGCCGACAAATGTCCCGAGGGACTCGTCCAGATATGGATTCACCAGGTCTCTTGATTCACGGGTGTTAGCGCCCAGAGCAGTTTCATTAGAGGAAAAGCTGTACACTAACTATTGCAGATGTATACAAGATATCGCGAAGCAACAGAAGAACAATAATAACGTCTACGAAACCAAGCACCAAGAAAACGGGGGATAAACCCAGAAGATACACAATACTGTACATTATACCATACATCATGACCTCATCCCTGTCCATGGTTGACCATACTGAGGTACTTGACCTTGCGGAGCGACGTGTGGCCAACCAGTATTGGTAAAGTTGGCTCCAAAGAAATCATCTCCCCCGTGCGCAGGCATACCCCATCGCTCGTCCATGGCCTCCGCCGCACCGGAGTTACTGTGGAACTGCGCTCCATACGTCCCATTCTGCTGCCCGGCGACGACCGTCTGCAGGAAGTGGTTCATGCTGAAATCCATGTCCGCCTCGCCGGACTGCTGGTACACCGTCCCACTGGGAAATTCCTGAGCGGACTGGTCCATGCCCGACACCTGCGAGGTGTCCGGCCAGTAGAACATGTGCGGAGGCGTCGGGTCACGCTCTTGGTGGTACTGCGGCTGAATCTCACCTGTCGTCGGGGAGTAGGAGGACTGGTCAGAGGAGGTATGGTCCGCGGCGGCGTACTGGGCATACGAGGAGCCCACGGCTGCATAATGCGTGTTCCGCGCAGCGCGCGAGTGATCGTACTTGGCGAGGAGGGAGGAGAGGAAGCGCGAGTACAGCATGGGCGTGTGCCGGCCGTCCAGCGCGACTTCCTTCGAGCCGAGGATCTCAATGAGACGCCCGACCTCGTGGACGATGATCTGCTCCTGGTTCGGCTCGAGCAGGGGCTTGCATTTTGGCCGGAGCAGCTGAATTGACATCGAGCGTCAGCGACAGACACCGAATCCAGTTTTGCGGGCTCCACGTACATTGAGCAAGAACGCCGCCGCATACGCGACGTAAAGAAAGTGCGCTTCCATCGAGAACCGAAGCATCCGCGTGGGATACGTGACCGGGTACATGTCCTCGATCATAATCTTCAATACCAGCAATGCCTCGGTGACAGACTGCAGAATGTACGTCAGGTCAGCATTCCTCCATCACGCCATCGCCGTTACTCACCTGCCGGACGATATAGCAGCCCCTGTTGAGCCCACGCTTCTTGAACTCCAGCTGGAAGGCATGCGCCAGGACGACCAATCGCGAGTACGCCGCGATTCTGTAGGGCAAGGGTTCAGCCATGCCGAAAGTGACGCTCGCAGTGAATGAAAAACAGGTGACTCCGCTGCCAGGCGCCCAAGCGCCCCGGGATGACCCGTGTCCACCTGGGTGGCAGAGCGTGTGCAAAGAAGAGAAGACAGGAAAAGGGACGTACAATTTCGTCGTATTACCGCGGTACCGACAAATCGGATCTGCAATTGAGAAAAGTCAGGAACCGGAAGGCCTGCCGACTATGAAGAGGAAATCGAGAGGGGCAAAGCTGCTGCTCGCCCGGAACACCAAGACAGCCTTGGCAAGCTCGGGGACGGCGGAAAGCTTGTCGCGAAAAGACAGGAAACACGCACCGGTCGAGAACGTCTGCGTCTGGTACAGCTGGTACCAATGCGCAATCCTCTCCGCGAGCCTCCGATCAATACCCACCAGCCTCTCCACAATATCCCCCTCCTCCTGCCCCGCCGCGTCCTCATCCCCATCCACGATCCGGCGGAACTCCGCCATCACGAGGAGGATGTCGACGTACCCGCAGAGGTGGATGTCGTAGTCGAGGTTGCCCTCGCTGCAGCGCCACCAGTCCTGGCTGTGCCGCGCGACGTAGTCGTCCTGGAGGCGCACCATCGGCAGCTTGCCGTACTGCGTCGCGTGGCTCGCGTCGACGCAGAAGCAGTTGAGCCAGGTGCGCGTGAGGTTGAGCGAGGACGGCGTGGGCGGGTGGGGTGGCGGCTCGTTGATGCCTAGTTCCAGCGCGAGCCTGCGTCACGGTAGGATAATGATGTCAGAATGAACCTAGATTAAAAGTGGAGAAAGGGGGTGAGACGCACCGGATGGCGACGCCCATCAGCGTCCAGCTGCGGTCCTCCGCCCACCGCTTCCGCGGCTTGGGGTACACCGCGAGCAGGAGGTACGCCTGGCACGTCTCGACGGCCTTTGACGCGTCCACGAGCGCGCGCCCCGCCGCGTCGCGCGCAAACGACATGAGCAGCGGGTACAGCGCCGGGCGCGCGTCGTAGTAGCGCGAGGCGACCGTGCATACTATTTGCCGAGGTCGGGTTAGGGAAGGGGAGAAGGGGGAGGGAGGGGGGCTTACCGACTGTGAAGAGGAAGGGCGAGGTGTGGATGAGGTAGTTCGGGGTGTGGTAGTTTGGGTCGAGGATCGAGAAGAACGGCTGTGGGCGCACGGCTCAGTTAGACTGGGCATTCTCGCGCTCATCGTACCCATGACACTCACATTCACTCTGTCAAAGTACCTACGAAACGCCATCTCAGCACACATGGTTCCGTGTGATAAGAATAGAAACGCAGCAACGCCACATACAGCTTGAACAGATCATGCACCTCGTCCATCTGCAGAAAGCCCCGCTTGACGACGTCGGGCAGGGACTGGCTCCCACTCAAGCCGTATCGGGGATCTGTTCAGTCGAGCAAGCAAACAAGCATGACTAGTCAGTCGCGATTCATTAAGCCAAGAGCAAAGCCAGATGGCGATAGCCCACGAATGATCAGCCCTGGCTGCCACCATCAGACACAAGTATCCAACGGACGCTGAGAAGATCCCCTGGGACGGGGCGGGTCACGGATGTCCCATCTCGGAATTTCCCAGCGCAGGGCCCGGAAATAACTGGAGCACGGTGAGGTCCCAGTGCGCGTCCCGACGCACGTGCAAAACGCCCTGCGCAGCCCGAAATACGCATACACTGACCAAGCAGGGAGATAGGGATAAGGGGCTGCTCACCTGCTGATAAGGGCGTCCGCGTCGAGAGGTCCATGTAGAATTCGGTGGAGCCGTATTCGCGTTTGGGCATGCGGAGGTTAGCCGGGCGATGTGGGTCGTATGGGGATATCGACTGGGAAGATTGTGAGTACGAGGAGGGGGAATAGTCGGCCGAGTCATTTGGGGAGGCTGGTGGAGCGGGAATGTGAGATGTATGTGGATACGCTGAAGAGGGCGAACGTACAAGCCGAGGCGACCTCCTCCTGGGCCTTCTCAATCCAGTCTTTGACTTTCTTCTCGGCCTTGATCTGGTCGAGCTGCTGGAGTATGGACTGGATGGTGGCGTCCTGGCGGTGGGATTTTTCGAGGAGCGCTTCGTGTGACCTGATAGGATTACGGAGGTGAGAACTGGGGGTACGAGGGGGAGCAAGACACGCACGGAGCTGGTTTCCGCTTCTTGCGCCCGCGGACGACGCATTCGTGTTTGCCGGCGATGCATCGCTGGCAGGACGACTGGCCGCGGTCGAATTGGCAGCGGACCTGCGGTGGCTCGGCGCTCAGCATCAGCGGGAGAGAATGAGAAGAGCCGGCGCACCTTGAGGGACTTGCAATGGACGCAAGCGCCGGTACTGTATATGCCACAATCAAAAATCCGAGAAAAAAAGATAAAGATGTTGACGCACGGGCGGACGTTCCCCTTTGACCTTGTATACGAATACTCGTCTTCGTCTGCGCTCTGCCCATCGCTGTCATAATGTTGCTGGCGTCGAGGGTCGTGGAAGGAGCTAAAGGCAAAGGAGACGGCGGAGCTGGGGCTCGATGGCCCGCTGGTGGCGGACACGCCGTTGGGCGAATTGTGGGGACGGGCGGCCATCTGGGGCGCGAACTTGAAGGTGAAGCAGGAGGAGGAGGAGGAGGAGGGCGGGTGTGGCTGTGGCTGTGGGGGGACGGGCAGTGATATATGCATGGGGAGACGATCGAGATCCATGAAATGGGGAAAGCAGTGTTGTTGGGCAAAGCAGTCGGTGGACGCCATCGCGCAGAGGGGGCAGACGCGGTCCGATCGGGGCTGAATCGAGATGCACCTCTCATGAATCGGCGATCGGCTTTCTTATATCTCGCGTCCCTTTTACTTCCGTCTGCGTGCCTGGCCAATCACGCCCCTCGCCCGGCGTCTAACGCGACCCACGCCCGCCCACGCCGGATCACGCTGCGAGCTTGAACTCTCCCCTGCTCCGGCGTCCTCTATCTTCGGGCTGCGCGGCTATGCAGTTCTTCTACTAGTACTCCGACGCGGACACTCGCCGCTCACGTCAGCCTTGGCCGCGACGATCCTGCCACTCCGTCACTCGGCGTAACCTCATAAACCGCCTTCGGCCCAGACTCTGGCTTGTTCAAACCAGCCTCGCACCATTCCAAGCGGTTGCATTCTCTCGGCTCGTTGACCGCGACCGAAAATGACCACATCTCGAAGTTGCACCCTATCTCAAATCCATCTCCCGATGAAAACTCGATATATCCTCGCCCCCCTTGCTTCTCGTCTTCGCACTTGGCTTCCTGTCATATCGCGCTAGCCCACCCTCAATTGAACCCAAACAGAGCCTGGCCAACGACGTCCCCCCCACTGACACACACACCGCTATCTTCGTATCCCGTTTCTCATGACCTCATCACCAGCCGATCGTCCAACCCAGCGAACCCCGTCCTGCCCTCTTCGCACATATCCTCCCAGCTGCCTCGGCAGGCAGGCCACAGGCCTCGGCATTCCCTCCCTCGACGCACACTTATCGGGCTAGACCGTCCTACTCGGTCACCCAGCCAATAGCACGGAAGGGCTCCCGCTGAGCCAGATGCTGCTTATCACCCGGCACCTCTCTCGCCCCGTCCTCCGTACTCGGTGACCAACGAAGCCGCAAACCCGACTTCACGCAGCCGCTCCGCCACCAGCCATTCGCGCGAGGCCCTAGGTCTCTCAGTAATAAGAGGCCTATTGGTCCAATTCCGAATTACCCACCGCAACCTCCCAGCCCGCGGCTCACCCGAGCAATCAAACCAGCGCGAATCCCGACGAGCGTGGACCGCCCCCCATCATCGGCGCATCCCCCACTGCGAGGACATCTCGCAGAACTTTGTTTTCGCCCGACGTCGCGCATACCAATGCTCATCACGGCATCCAGGGACTTGGTAGGTCAATTACGAATGAGACCCCGCATCCGGAACGCCTCGCGGAGTACCAACCATCTCCCCCGCCCGGGCCAGCGCCGTCCCCTCCTCCGACGTCGGTTGACATGATCAACAACAGCGCTGCATCTTTTCCCACTGTCAGTCAAGGTATGGTAAACGACTGCACCCGCGCGGGCATGCCGAGCCTTGTCATTCATTCATTCGCGTGTGAGCCAGAATTCGAAGCATGCACCGTCCGCTCCCATCTCGATATCGATTAGCTACTGACTGGGCTGACTGGCCCCCTGCTGATCATGATGCATGCTGATGTGCACTGTAACTACCCCGCGTGAGTCGCGCCCGACCCGGCGCAAATCGGGGCACCGGCCTCTGGTGTGCGAGCGCCGAGCGCCTCCCGCAATGCGGTATTGGTCGTGTTCAAGGTTCTGAGGCGTGACCACGCCAGGCCCATTGCCTGATCGTTTGCTTCCAAGCTGAGGTACAAGGCGACACGCCAGACTGAAAACAAGTCTGCACCGCAACCCAAATATCCCCGCGTACTTGTGGGCGCACTACTACCATATCCAGAACAAGGTCACACCGACGCGATCCCGTTCACTGACCATGCAAATGAGTACTCTGGCGTCCAAACGAGTCCCCAGGATCATCACCGGGGGAAAACGTGACCCACGGATTCCTGGCGCGCCCGCATCATACCGAAGCAGATCAGCGCCGGGTCGCTAGCGATATGCTGTCCACCGCACATGGCAGAGCGGTGCACCCAGCGTGCTCGCGGACCAAGGGCAAGACGAGAGTGGGAACGACCCGACGATGGGCTGCAGGTGTGGCGGCGGCGTCGCGTACTTCGATGAGCGAGGATCGCCGAGTCGTCATTGTCAGGGTGCCTACGGCACCGGGTGGGACGGAACAGGGGGCACCATCAGCTGGTCCCAATGCCAATGATGAGGGCGGGATGGCTGCGGAATTGATTGGCTTTAGAGCCATCAGTAAGTAAGCAGGACGAGTGTCATGGCCCGTTGCGCGCGCCTCTGAGTAGCAGTTTCGAAGTGGGGTGTTCAAGAAAGGAGGGTGCGCGCTATGCATAGACGTCGCTAAAATTCTGCAGGAAGACGGACGCATCGTACCCCTAAGCCCCTAGTGCTGCGCGCGACTTTGTCATGGCGGCGGAATAGCGTATAGAACAGATATTTTGAGACCTAGGCAGAGTAAAATTGGCGACGGCTGGGAATGCGCCGAGTACGCTAGAAGCTAGAACCGAGCTGGATTCTGACGTCGTCAACGTGCCGAGGTGTTCAGCACTCCGAGGCGTCCTCGGAGGGGCGATCCAGGATGTCGAGAGGACGCGCGACTTCCCGAACCCCGGTCCTATGATCCAAGTCCCGGGGTAAAACGGAAGGAAAATGGAGGGTGACAATCCTCTCAGGAGCAGTCGATTTTACATCAGGATGCAACCCGCGACACGACACACCACAGTCGCTGGACGTGAATTTCCTGACGGAAAGTGCAGCGCCATCTATGGCACATACAATGAAACCGCTAAGACACGGATCTATCGAAACAGCCGATAAGTCATTCACGACTGACATAAGCTGATCGTGGCACCGACCGTGTTACCCGAAATCATTGTCTTCGAGCGCCGCGAAGCGGGAGATGTCGAAATTGAGATACCGCGAACATTCCAGCTGTGAACGGCTTGCGATTGGACACCGTGACGGAACATGGCTATCTCGGCGTACAAGATTCCTCCAGTGTCTGGTGGTTTCCTTGAACCCCACCCGGCCTCCTAGAGTGAACATTTGTATGAGCTTGACGATAGCCTACAATAGCACCCTTCCTCATGCACTGTTTCCTGACCTAAATGTCTTGGAGATAGGCCTCACTATGGAGCGGCCCGTGGTTTTGGATTGAGGCGGAGAGACGCAAGACGCAACCTGTCCTACATTAAAATATTCATGGTAGCCTCAAACATGAATCCCATGTAACGACCGGGTAAACAATATCTTGTCACCATACATCCATGAGGGAAAGAAATCCACATATCACGGGGAGCGGCCAATGTGAAAGAATGTACGGGACGCCATGGGGCCCTCGGCGGGCAACAAGGACACCTCCACCATGCGCCAGGTTATCGGCTAACGGAGCGAGGTTGCCCATGCCCTGAGGGCATCCATACGGCCGCGGAGAAGCTTGTTTGTAATCCACCACGGATTTCGAGAAACTGGTAGGTGAGGGTCCACCCCACTACACGTGCAGCAAGCCCATTGGCACCACCATGCAGACGTGGATGTACTTGATAACAAGCAAACAGACCATTGCACCGGAGCCTGCATCTGGAGGCTAGAAGCGCCCTGTATGTCCTGTGCTTCAACCAATAAACACTCGGAGAGTCCGACAGGAGCAATGCCGATCAACTTGCATTTGGCAAAGTAAGGTAACAGGCAGGTGCCCTCGCAACATTGAAACGCTGGGCCTAGTCACGCTTCCTGACCATCGCGAATAGACCATTTTAAGCCTGGTCCGAAGACGGTCCCGAGGAAGCAGTCAGTCATCCAGCAAGTTCCGTACATCCGTAGCGCCACCCGGCGAATACGTAGGTGAGCATCGAGAACGACCATGACATCGGACGGCTTGACTCCTAAGAATTCTGCTTTGAACAACAGGAAACTGTGTAAAATGACGAGAGCTGAAGTTGTCCCCATCGATCGATAGACTCAGAGCGTACTGGCTGAAGGACTGCATGTGATATGCATTGTGTACGACCGCACCCGACATACGGCGCACGGACTAGGTGCTAGCTACCGAACCTCCCTCTTAGAACTTTAGCCGGTATAGACCCAGAGCAGCATGCACGGTCCCCAGATGACTTGAGGTGAAGTTCGAAATAGTTCAACAGAATCAGAACTCAGAGAAGCGTTGACGTGAGAGCAGAACTAGAATAACCACCAGGGGTTAAACTGCCAGCCCAGAAGGAGACACGTTCTAGTCATGACCGCCTCCGTGGTAGTCCGGCTATTCCAGCTGGCTGTGCAGTAATGCAATATGTCCAACCCTAGTTTTAAAATGCTGCACCTGTACAAGGTTCAGAAAGACTCTAAATCGAAGGAAGCTGCCTTGCATATCGTATTCTCGACGGTCACTGGGCCTGGACCGGGAGCATTGTTTAGGGTTTCCTGACCCGAACAGCGTGAGTCCGCGAAGAAACGGGCACCACAGTTAAGTATCGGATAAGTTATGGAGAGTTGGCGATTAGATGCATCCTACGGCATGCAGCCTTCGCCGGGTTCTATGGCCGTCTTCGTCCGAGGTCTGGCGCAAATCCGGATTTAGAGGGGTCGCCAAACTCGGGTTCCCAGAAAGGGGCAGGCACACTGTGGTCGACCAGGTCCAACAAGGTGATGCCCATGCCCTAACCTGTCTCTAGGGGAGGCGTCCGAGCGGGGTCGAGAAGGGCACAGCGACCACCCCCTCTCCGCGCTCTTGCCTAGCCAGCAGAATCCTCGAGAGCATCTTGGACGCATGGCCCTCTCCCTTCCGCCTTGATATCCAAGACTTTCCAGAAGCCGCAATCCTTGCCTTCATTCTGCGCCGCCGCATTACAATGCCACCAGTATTTGTCGCTTCCGTCCTGCTTATTCTTTTGATCTGCCCTCAGAACGGTAGGAATACCGCACTTACACCTGGGGATGGTGGAAGGATGAAAATCAGGCCGGTAAAATCGGAATGTGATGTTGATACGACAGTTGGATGGCTCAATAGGAGAAGCCATTGACCTTGGATAGGATGGTCGATAAAGATCAATCGTTGACTGTGGCGGGATGGAGTGTTTGAATCTCTCTTGTGTCGAAGCGTGCATAATAGTCAACTAGGGTATAGAGCAGGGTATAGAACTCAGAGAAATTGTAGAGCAAGGTTGGCCTGAACAACGTACAGAGTTGTGTGGTAAAGGAATATTGAAGGTTCGAGCTTGGCGAACGTCCCTTTGGTCAGATGGTATGGTCTCTCTGAGTCGGAAGGTCCTAGTGGTACCTGCACATCGTGGAAGTGAACATTTCGATTAGGTGACGAGGTACAAGGAACGCACCAAGACTAATGGAGGCAATTGTGGGGTATGGTCCTAAGTACGTCAATTGGTCCGCGTGGGCGCCCACACTCTCCTTTGCACCCTCGTAGCAATTGGCTGCTGCGACGTTGGCTCGCCAGATCCCCAAGGAGTCACCGCCCCATTCTAATGGATACCGACGTCGTTTCTTCATTTCCTCGTTGACAACACGTTCCACAATAGTGCATGCTTCTTCGAGTACGTCGGGGAAATGTCGAGGCGGCTGGGTGCTCCGCCCGTTGTACCAATATTGGGCGGCTTCTTGCCACGCATCTCCCGCGACGTCTTCAGAATCTCCATCACTTGCAGAAAACCTGCGGACGTAGAACGAGGTCCGATGCGGACTTTCCACTAATCTTTCGAAAAGCCACCACTGGTTCCTTTTCCACTCTTGAGATTCGTCTAGCATAGTGTAGAAGAGTCTGCATGCTAGTTCAGGGGGAAGAACAGAAAGGTGCAGAGTACAAGGTGTGTGCTTGGCGACCATGTCGGGATTTGCGAGAGTTAACGGAGGTAGACGTCGCGGTGTATCCTTCGCTGGAGAAGGGGGTGGACGCAACACGGTCATGAGGTTGACCGTTTTTTTCGCAGGAGATGGAGATCGAGCAGACTTTGACGACTCAGGTTTTATGGATTTCCTGAGAACAGGGCTGGGTTCGCGCGAGACATCATCGCCAATGACCTTGGTGCTGGTGGAACTGCTCGAAGTAAGCCTTACTTTCGAAGCTGGCTGATTTAACCAAGCGTCCAGATCTGCACCTCTCTTTTGCTTCTTAGTCCTCGGGTTATCCAATTCACTGCTTGAGGCGTCTGCGGGATTATTCAACCTTTGGGCTGCTACCTCTGCGTTGCCTCCACTTTCAACCAGTGCATTCAGAAGAATAGCAGTTTCCGGCTGAGGCCCATGCAGAAGACTTGCGAGCATGGCGAGCAATGTCTCTGTATCATCTGCCATCACTAGAGCCGCCTAGTACAGACCAACGAAGATTAGACACTGATTCGGACGACAGCCACATGCACACTGAGGCCTGAGGAAGCGTCGCGAAGGATTAACGAGGTGGCGGTGCTACACGCGTTTCGACGCGTCACGCGTCGCGCTTCCGCCAAACCATCTTAACAAATGCCTCTCCGACATCCGGGCTTCAAGCTATCGGATAGCATTACGGACATGTACAATGCAAATACATCAGCAGCTCAAGTCAACGTCTGACGCCTCAAGACCATAAAATACATTGCTTCTCTCGTGGGGGGTTGAGCTGAGAAACGCGTCAGCAAAACTTATTATTTCCTGTCGTATCAGGACGTTTACCTTGGCATCTGCTGAGCAGTTGAAGGCTTTGGCAAACTCAGGGACGTTGTATAGAGTTCCATCGACACGGTACCGATTCGGTGAATGAGGATCTGTCCGAACTCTGGCGACCTAGGTTATTGAGCAATAAATGAGTTGCAATACTTTTCTCCATGGATTAATGACACTCACTGCAGAAGCGGGCTTGATGTTCTGGGCCCACACTTGGCCAAACGCTATGAAGAATAATTGCTCCCTGATACAGGCGCTCAACTCAGTGACGTAGGGTCTCCCTACCCGCTATTGACGTACCGAGTATAATTCAGACCGGGCAGCAGGTACTCCTTCGACTCGTCATACTGAGCCAACCATGCACGGTACGATTGGATCAGGCCGGTGTCTCCGATGTTCTCTCCCGACGTCCTGAATATAGTCAAAAGCTATTCTCGACAGGCCTTCGTAAATCACTCACAAGTTGCCCTGTATTAGTAGGTTGAGGTCAAGGACGATTGAACCAAAAGGCTATGAAATACACTTACGTTGACGTGAATCTTACCTCCTTTGCCATCATCGATGGTATAGGCTGTACAACTTGTGAGTCAAGAAGAGGAAGCACGAGAAGGCTGAAGACTAACAGGAATACTGCTTTACGATGCAGTCCTGCTTGATTTGGAAACCGGCACTCGTCACATTGGTCCACCACTCTTCCAGCTTGCCTTCCTGATTGTACATCCTACCAGCAGAGTCGAACGCGTGCTAACGAGAATATTCAGTCCGACCTCTCCAAAAAGGCAGGACATGTGTATAATCACCGTGAGTTCGTGAGCAGCGACCATTCCGAATGCACCGTATGCAAGATACGCAGGCCTAAGAAAAGGAGACCAACATGACTATCATGTACGAATCGACTGAGTGGAATACGTACCACTTCTCCGAGAAGAAGGGAGGTTGTAAAATACCGGCTGGGAATACGATCTAAAAAGCAATCAGACGGTGGGTGGAAGGGAAGCACAGGGTGGCCACGTACTTCGTTGCCAGGGGGATTGTAGTACGCATTTACCATTGAGGCGTACATCTCCCACTCGTCTAAGTTCCTTTGCTTCCCTAGTTTCTGCCATTTCCAATATTGTTCATTCGCACTGTGTGGCATAGGCCTGATTTAGCAACTTGACCAGCCAATATGCAGATTCACCCACTCAGCACTGAGCAAGTTGTCGAAAAACGTATCGTCGCTGATTTTGACGCGGTTATAATAGTTGACTATCGAAGCCGCACTACGAGTGTCGGGGTAGACGGGGAAGCCGACTTTGATCCGGAGTGCATCTGCCTTTTCGGCAGCAGCACTAGCTGATTCCTCGTCCATCCACGAAATGTGAGATAGAGACGATTTAAAGGCTTGGATGATGTCTACAAGCCATACATAAAAAAGGGTGAGTTCAGGGTCCATATCCTATATTACTTCGGTGATATTCATTCACCTTGGATGACATTGGTAGCCTTTTCCCGGGACTCTCCGGCGAAGGTCTCATTGACGAAATATCTACCGGTAGCATATCCCAGAGCGTTCTCCACTTGGTCGGAGCAGTACTCAGAGCGGTCGCCTACCGCACCTTTCTTGATGCCCTTAAGTTCCTCGTCGAGGCTCCGGGCAGCCTGCCAAGCCTCGGTCTGCATCCCAAGATGCGAGGCTGTTGCCAAAGCAGCACGTGTGACTAGGTACGCCTCAATCACGTCAGATTCAGTGGTGTTCAGGATATGTGCCAATGACACAGCATAAGACGGGTAAGTCACGATGACTTTCTCTGGGTAGTTCCTGGGTGCGAACGTTGCAAAGTATTCCTCGAAGTTGATCTGCGGCAAAGTCTTGGTGAGATTGGAGAGCGGGACTGGGTTATATGTCGCCCAGGGATCTTGATAAAGGATGTCACTGTGTACAAGTCCAGTCTTCAGTACGGTATTCGTATCAAAGAGCATGAAGTTAGCATACAGATCGAGACTGGCATTCGCTAGGCTCCGTTCAAACTTGACGACGGCCTTCGCTAACCTCTCCGCTCTCTCGTACTTGTCCTCGGGCCCATGGTCGTCGTCATCGCCGTCGCCGCCATCATCATCACCGTCCCAGGGTGGCCAGGGCCAGGGCGGCCACCACTTATACTTGACCTCGTTCAAAAGTAGTTCAGAAGGCTCTTGCGCCCCGGTACGCGAAGCATCTTCCATAGAAACAAGTTGACTATCCTCAGAAATTTCGGGTCTCGCCTCTGCTTTCAGCAGGTCTTCCTCTGAGTATTCCTGTTCCTCGGCGATCGTGACGAGCAGACGTTCCAAAACGTCGTTGTATAGGGCAACGATAGACTCATCCTCGTAGTATTCCTATGAATAGACACGTGAACAATGACAGGCGTTACCGCGAAGTGGTGCTAATTACCTTAGAAGGCAGACCCAGACTAGGCTGGCTGAACCACAAAGTCATGAAGTTCGGGTCCACCGCTACGTCTCCGTCAATGTCGAACTCGAACAAGGCACCGATACCTGGAAAAATCATAAGCAAAGAGAGGTATAAAAACAACCTTTTGAACAACCTCGGGAATGCAGGAAAGCAACGGCAGAAGTCAGGCCGTTCCGCTTCTTTTGGGCATCGTCCTTGCCGGCCACATCAACCTCCGTCGTCTTACCCCGGTATAAATTTTGGATAGTCTCGACCAGGCGAATGAGAGGCGCAGTTCCCACGTCATTCAAGTGATCCTCATCCAAGCAAGACTGGTAAAGACTGCGCAGCTTGCTCAGTAAAACCTTATCGGATGTCTCTTCGGGGTAGAATTCTGCCGAGTAATCCCCGGACTCCAGGATTTTACGAACGACCTGCTTGTTGTCCTCAGCGAGGACATTGAAAATGCCCCAGCTGCCTTTGTCCGCTGGAATAGGGTGACTGGACAGCCAGCCGCCATCTAAAGATATGACACATTCATCATTCATGCGGCATAGGAAATGGGAAAACTCACTGGCAAAGTCAAAGAAGTTCTCGCATGGGTCGTACGAGGTATCCAAAGAAGACAGAATGTTTGCCGAGAGCAAGATGCAGTCCGCGCTGAAGCATGCTTTCTACAGAGAAACTTATTTTGAGCGACTTGTCCTCGCGATACCAAGACAATACAAACCTCTTCCGGAGGAGCGCTGGGCGTCGGTCCAGGCACCGAGACAGTCGTAGTCGCTATGCTGGTGGATGTGGCCGTCGCAGTCGCAGTTGTAGTAGCAGTGATCGTAACTTCACTTCCAGCGCCTCCACCAGACTTCAGCTTGTGCTGAGCTCCCGCGAACAGCCCGATAAAGACCGAGCTCAGGAGCAGGAACAGTAGCGCGACGACGAGCAGCACTTTCGTCAAAGGGGTGAGGGGTTCCTGAACGACGGACGAAACACGTTCCAGGAATGTAGGCTCTCGTTCTCCATCGTAATTTTCGCCTGCCTCTGCCTCTGGATCTCGCAGAAGCGGTGCGGTTTCTATCACCACAGTCAACGCTCGGCTCGACGACGCATACGCTCGAGGATATCCTCTCACCTTGGTCTGTAGAACCTCGCGGCTCCGCCATGATGACGGTAAGACGAGAGGTGCACAAGCCTCAAGCGTATCTGGCTGCGCAAGGGCAGTATAGCGCGAGTTACACACGCTCTGAATGACGCCCTTGCTACTGTATATTGCACGCGAAGTCGAGGTGCCGGAATAGACGCCGACGGCGAGTGCAAAGTCGATCGGCCCGCTTCGATAGGAAGACGCGCACAAATACAACGTCTCCGCTGATGCCTCTCCTCCACGTCCGGGCGGCGTCGCGCTCGGTCCTGAAAACGCGATGTATACCGCGGCAACACGATTTGCATGCAACATGTAGAAGAACCCTGTTCAATTTCTTCCGGAAGCCAAAAGCGGACGAGGGCAAGAAAGAGCCTACGCCCATCTTGACAGAGGACAACCTTTTCCATCCGTTCTCGAAATCACCGTTTCCCGCTGTACGCGCCAGAGGCGAGGCAATCAGACAACTGGCGTCGTGTCCAGTCTGCGCGTCCGAGCATGCGCATCTGCATGCACACACAAAAGCCCAGCCCAAGGCAGTAAACTTTGAATGTCCAGATTGTGGTTGGCCGACCCACTGCTCGGAGGAACATTGGCTGCAGGATAAGGAGCATGAGAAGTACTGCTCACGGCTGAGGGAAGTTAATGAGGATGAGCATGATTTACGAAGCGGGCGGAAGATACGGGAGTTCGAGTTCCCTGGTAAGTCCTGTATGTGTCTACTTTAATGAATCATGGCTGAGTCCTCTACTCTATGCAGGTCCTCAGGACTCTGAAACTGCGATATCCTTTGCGAACTGGGACGTGTTCTGGTACACTCGAGGATTCCCGTCCATGGACACGGAGCGGTCCAGAAGACACGCCAGTAAAGTTTTGACCTACCCGATTACGATTGGGTCGGTTTTACACGAGCACAGTTATCTCACTCTCAACAACCAGAGGCTGACGCCTGAGGGAAGTCGTTCCTTGGCTGGTAAGCTTGTCCCATGTCATTTAGCAATGAAAGCGGGCTAAGGGGCCACACTTTCTAGCCCTGAGGTCAACGTTACATGTACCTACTGGTGCTCCGGAGACCGAAGAAGCGTCAGCGACTAAGCCGGAAGTTCGGATATTTATCCTCGGGGCTCGTGCAGAGTCTGCTCTGCCGCCTCACGCTTGGGAGCAACTACATATGCTGTTCCCCGCTGCGATCCTTCACCTGTTCTTTATCGGCCCACAGGTGTCGCTGCCGAAGTTTGGTCAGGCTAACAAAACCTCTTCTACTTCGAATCCCACCGGGCAAACTACACAACAGCAACAGCAGGCGGCAGGATCTCCTGGGCCCGAAGCGCGGCCCACACCTCAGGGAGCAGCTGAGGAAACGGCCCCTCAGCCTGCCTCGGAGAAGAACGAATCCCAACCAGCGGAGGAGAAACCGTCGTATGTGCCGAACGTCTACGAGCCTCCGACGCCCGCACCAATAACGCCCCTCAAGCGCACTCGGCAGTCTATCGATCGTTATGGTGTCCCATCATACACCACTCCCTACAATCACCAGCTTACCATCACAGGCATGCAGGCTAATTATATTGACGTCCACGGCCACTTCCAGGAGACTTTCGACCCCTACACGGACTGTTTCTTCTTGTTCTGCCCCGGTTTTGGTTTCCCATCTCCTGAGTCGACGGACGAACACGGAAATGCGCTGCTTCAAATAGCCTCTCCGACCGAGTGGGGGCCGGTCATGCCTCTGTTGCTTGCTACGAAATGCCCCATCTTTGTCACCGGATTCTCTCCGGCGGACGTGGAACGCGACGTGCGATCATTATCGACTGCACCAGGTGTCGCGGGAGAGTTTGATTGGGTGATCACACCGGGTCCGAACGCTTTTGGGAGTGAAAAGTGGGAGGTAGCTGACTTTGATCCACGGGTCATGGTCAAGTCGAACTGGGGCATATGGGGTATCAGAGGACAGCGCAGGGATGTCAGGGAGAAGAGCTCGTTTACTTCACTATTTTCTTCATAATTGTCTGTTATCTGTAGCTATTGATAATCCAAACCCCACTCGCATTTCTGTAGGGCGGCCGGGCTGAATTCATTATTCTGAATTGGCCTCAGCCACAAGCGCGTGTTTCACGTGACCGTACGCGTTGTTGATTGGATCGCGGTGAGAACTGGACGTGCTGTCCCTCGCCTCGATGTCATAGCATCAACAACAGTCAACAGTCACTCTACACTTCAACGCTCCCTGCCCGGTCTCCTACACCGTTCTAGGCGTGCTCGCCATGGTCTTCATCCCGCCACCCCATCTCGCGTCCGCGTCGCGTCCTTCCTACGGCGAAGCTTATGCAAACATCCTTGCCGCTCATCGACGATCTCCTTTGACTTCGGCGTCCTCAGTTATTATGCTCGTGGCTCCGGATGTGGATGCCCTTTGTGCTGCGAGAATGCTCGCTAATCTCTTCAAGCAAGACGACGTCATGCACCGTATTATTCCAGTCTCTGGGATTGCCGAACTAGAAAGAATGAGGGAAGAGCTGATGACATATTCCGATGTACGTCTCGGTCTACTGCGACTATGCTCTTATCTTTACCTATAAGCCTGCTAGCTGCATACGCTTATCCTCGTCAATATGGGCGCCATTCTTGACCTGCCATCACCAGCGTGGTTTGGGGAGTTCAGCACAAAACTCTCAGTCCATGTCATCGATTCCACACGGCCTCAGAATCTGTCTAGTTTATTTTTGGGTGGAGAGAACGGTGAAAGGATCATCGTCTGGGATGATGGTGGAACCGAGAAACTGGAGGATGAGCGGAAGGCTTGGGAGGCTTTGATGGTACGAGCGCTCTTATTCACGCTCTCGCGCAATGTTTATCTTCTTCGCCGCAGTATGAACCAGAACCAGACTCTGATGAAGAGGATTCCGATCTGGAGTCGGATGATGTGTCGGAAGATGAAGAAGAGGACGTGGATCATGACGACGAGGAGAGCAATCCATCGGGAAAGCGGAAGTCCGGGGGCGAAGGCGGGCCCCGACGGCGGAAACGCCGGCGAAACGATGATGAGGTCTGTGCTGGTAATGCCACACGTATTGATGGTCCTGACAGACTGTCAATTAGCGGCCACTCCGTATGTCTCGCGCGGATAGAGAACGATATTCATCCATCGTCAATAAGCATTACACCCTCGGTACCTGGCATGGCCAGAGCGCATCAGGGACGATATACATTCTAGCGACCGTCTTAGAACGTGTTGATAACGATCTGCTTTGGTGAGTTAGCTGACTGCTTCATCATGACGTCCATGCTCATCTCCCCGCGTTTTCGCTAGGCTTGCTATCCTTGGTCTGACACACCAATACAACACTACCCGAATATCCCGTGAAGATTACGAGAAATACCATTCCATTTACTACGACGAAGTCTTCCGCCTCAACCCACCCCTCCCCGCCGACGCTTCCTCCCGACTGAAGTCCCTCCATCCCGACGACCAGTCGGTACGCGCAACTGAGGAGTTGCGCTTTATGCTGTTCCGACATTGGACCTTGTACGATGCTATGTACCATTCGAGTTACGTAGCCAGCAAGCTGGGCATCTGGAAAGAACGAGGTCGAAAACGACTGACAGGTCTGCTAGCTAAGATGGGGTACGCCATACAGCTGTTTTGTATAAAGGTCAGGTACTGACTGAGGTTCGCAGATTCTCAATACCCCAGACGCAACAGCCCTACTCCCATATGGACATGGATCTGAAGAAGCACCTCCGCACCAAGCTCGAGGCGATCGCGCCCGAGTACGGCCTGGTGGAGCTCTCCTACCCCTCTTTCATGCGCTGCTACGGCTACCGCTCTCAGCCGCTCTCCGCCGCTGATGCGGTCGAGGCAACCTCTGCGCTGTTGGACGTTGCCGGGGGCGTGCGGATGGAAGTCGAAGTGGAGGGGACGCGGAATGGCGGAGAGTGGTTTGGCGGTGGGAGGGTGTGGGATATCCAGGAGCGATGGAGGGAGGAGGAGAGGGAAAACGTGCCGCCCGGCGGGATCATGAAGCGTGGAAGGGGCAAGGAAGATCAACCGAACGACGATGAGGACGGTGAGCACCAAGGGGAGAAGCTGCAGTGGTGGGTCAAGAACTTCTGGTCGGCCTACGACGCTCTGAGCGAGTAAGTGGATACACGCATTGTAGTACTCAGTCCCTAACTCCAACTCTCTACTATAGTATCAACAAGCTCCAATCCGCTCTCCCGCTCTCCATGTCCCTGCACCGAGCCATCATCCGCCAAGGGTCCTCCATAATCGACAAGCAAGACATCAAGACAATGCGCAACCACCGCGTCGTCGTTCTGACTCAAGGCCCGGACCTCGCACTATTCTCCCATCCTGGTGTTCTCTCCCGCTTAGCCCTATGGCTGGTGGACGCCCTGCGCGACAGGGTGAACGGCCAGAGCCTGACGGGCCGCAAGAGCAAGCGCAAGAGCCTGCCGTTCGTCGTCGCGTGTCTGAACGAGAAAGCCGGGTCGTACGTCGTCGTCGGTGTCACCGGAGCGATGGATTTCGGTGATGTGCGCAAGAAGTGAGTGGTCCCTCCACACGCAGCTGAGGATGTGACTTGACATCGTTCTTTCCTCAGTGAATTCGGCCTGGCCTTCCTCGACGCCAAGGAGCGCTGCAACGCCCGCACGCGGCACGGCTCCTTCGACACCAGCGTCATCGAGATCAACCAGGCCGACATCAAGATATTCCTCGAGACGCTCGCCGAGGGTCCAGATTATTAATTACGCTTCGCAGTAACCATTTCCTCCTGCATTGTCATCCTGGTAAATTATTGGATTTAGTCGTATATGCATGTTGCTAGTATTTGTAGAATCTGTGTTTGTGTAGCAATACTATCGAAGTCTGTTCGGCCAGTCACTTCTGCCCCGTCCTCAGTACCTCAGTGGGTGGTAAGATAGCGGAGCGGTTCCGATATCACCTCGATGTCCCAGTGCGGTATCCCTTGAGAATGTGCGAGAAGGCAGTAAGTATTGAAGAGAGCAAGCAAAGGTAAGGACCACTGACCTCACCACCATTAAGGAGGCCCGCCGAGTACCGACGGACTATATCTCAGATGACGCCACCAGGAACCAGAACATACCCGGCCCTCTGTATGCACATCGCACGTCAGAAAACATCCAGCAAAGTCAACGTTCACGTTTCGATAATGATAATCTGCACATCAGCATCTCGCCTCTTCCTTCTGACATAGATGATATACGAAGCGGCGAGGAGGAAGAGGGCGAGGGAGCGTTTGAAATTCGCGACTAACCCGGTAGAGTGCCTCGAGAAGTAGTCAAAGTCGATCGTCACGGCTGTTGCGAGGATCAACTAGCACGCACGAGTGGGTTAGAGAAGGTAGGAAGGGAAGGGGGGAGAGTGAGGCATACTGCGCGTTCGTCCATGGAGAGGTTGCGCTCGATGATGGGCTTATAGCCGCGCGCGGCTATCTCTTCTTCCGTTGGGTCGGGGTGGAAGCGGATGAAGTACTGACCTGGAACGGCCGCCTTCGTTTACCAATCCACCACGCAAAAATCGTGGGACTCACCAGTGTCAGTGAAAATCTATCATATGCCCAAACTACGTGAGCAGTCAGGAGCTCGCGCTACCGATGTCACACGTACCTCCCGGCCAAACCCTCTAAACGCCCGTCTGATACTAGCGAACTCCTCATCTCGATGATCACGCAAGCTGAAGTTCCACGCCCAGAAGCCTTCGTCGATCTTCGCTAACTGCGTGAACGTCTCCTCAGTCTCGGAGGGCTCGGGTTGAGGTTCTGAGACGGTAGAGAGGATCGGTCGTGTGCTCTCCCTATAATAGTCCGATCATAATTGTTTACTCCGTGGCTAGTGGTAGCGACCCAGACTTACCGAAGAAACACGTCGTAGCGCCGTCTCCACAGGTGCCATCGCTGCTGAACTTCACCAAAGGTATCCAGTATGGGTTCGCCCTCCGGTGTGTAATCAGAGTAGTTCTGCAGCCGCTGAACGAACATTCGTGAGTTGATCCATGCAAAAGGACGTCTGACCTAGGATACGATGAGCGGTTCAGATCAACTACTCCAAGTGCACGGCGTACCCAGAGAAGGGGGGCGCCTTGGGAGTCCATGATGAGTGCTCGGAAAGGCCTGTGTGTCTTGAATATTTGACGGGAAAAGGTAGAGAAGAACCCTCTGGGCTCTTCAGCAATGAAGCCCAAGGTCTCTCCTTCTTCGTTGCCTGTGCAGTATGAGTATTGTTTACGCAGAGGCGGCGATAGGACATACTGATGACATAGCGGTTGGCCTGCTCAAAGCCTACGAAAATATTGAGCATCTCAATTTGGCTAGAAAAGCCGATGCATCATCATAGGTAAAAAAAACTCTAAGAAGGCCAATAGGACTCACCGAGTAACGACCAGCATAGGATTGCTCAGGATTGTTCGCAAACTCTCCTCCGGATTGACCGCCTGCATCCTCTCGCGTTCTCCCCACGAGAGCGTAGGTCGAGGCTCATCGTCCTTGGGTTCCTCGCGCTGCCGCAACGGATCGGAGAAAAAGCGTTCGAACTCTTCCTGTTCTCTGCTCACTTTCCGGGGGGTGTCCCGCTTTCGTCCTACGCCCGGTCCTCGGTCGGGAAAGCGAGAGAATGCATAACTTCGGGTCGGGGCCTCTAATAACCGGAGGCGAGGGAGGGCGCGTAGCCGCCTACAGCCACGAAGAGCCAGCATTCAGCCTGCCTGCGACCTTGAATTCCAGTCAGCGCGAGCAGGTACCGGGATCGGGCAGCAGATCTCGACCTGCCGCGCGATGACGTTTCCCGGTCCGCCTTCGGAGCCGCGCGTCGATCACGTGCTGGACGCGTTGATTAGGGGCGCGTGCATAAAGCGCGTGCATGCCGCCTGTTGATCGTCGATCGCCCGCGTTCCCTCCCGCTCCCATGGCCTCCCGCGTCAAGCGCACTTACGGCGGCGCCCGCACAGCAAAGCTATCTCCGCCGGCCCCCTCGTCGCCTCCCTCGGGCCTGTCCTCGCCCCCTCCAGCGAGCGCGTCCAGTGCTGCCAAACGAAAGCGCCCCCTGATCGAGCGCTTGGGCATCAACGCCGACGCGGTCCCCCCATTCAAGAAACGTGCTTTATCTACCAAACAACGCGAGAAACAACTCAAGGAGAACAAGAAGACGCTGACGCAGCTGCACTTTTCCCTGGAGACCTCGGTCCTTCGGACATGCTCTACGTGTGGCTTGTCATACACGAAGGGCGCCCCCGATGACGAGAGCTTGCACAGAGCTCACTGTGCTCGTGTGCAGAGGGGTATGGAATGGGGAAGGGAGGAGGAGAAGGAACGGACCAAAGCCGGCGTAGAGGAGGTCACCTCTGGAGTCAGGTTGAAGGACGGACGTAAAGGCCGGATCATCTGCGTCAAAGCCGACGTCGGTGGCAAGATAGGCTCCAAGGTCTTTTGTCGTCCTATTCAGCGTCTTTTACTGATCTTTTGCTGATGTAACATTGCTTTCAGCTCAAGTCTCTCCTGGAAACCGTAAACCTATCACTGTCGTCTCCCCCTTTACTCCCGGCTGCCCTGCAAGCTTCAAAGGTCTACCTCTTCCTCGTCCCATCTGCGGCCACCTCGCCTACCACAACCCGCGAGAAAATCGTAGGCTGCGTCATCGCCCAGCGAATATCTACCGCAATGGCTGTAGTCACCCACTCAGACCCAAGCACCCCTCCTACCGATCCAACTTCCCCCAACGTCCCTCCACACCTAATCACCGTCGACCCCACGCTCGGCCTCTTCTGCGACCCAACACCCCTACCCACACCCCTAGGCATACCGCGCCTCTTCGTATCCACCTCCCACCGCCGTCAAGGTATCGCAACTCACCTTCTGGCCGCGGCCGCGAGGACGTTCATACATGGCTGCCCGCTCGATCCTGTCAAAGGCGAAGTCGCATTCACCCAGCCCACCAGTGGCGGACGCGCCGTCATGGAGAGCTGGGGCCGTGGAGGGGTTAGGGTTTACGAGGAGTAGCGTCGCTTCCAAGCCTACAGCATTAGCACGAATTCTCCTTCCCTTTCTTTGCTTTATCTTTATTTTCGTTGTGCTCAGAATCGACGTTGTATCCTGATCCGCTCGATCTCACGAACCATACCATACATAAGGTGTAACATAGATTCCATTATCGACGTTACAAATCGGAGGCTACACATAATTTCCAAGCTGGCGTGACTATCATTACAAGGTTGCATCAAGAAAGAGAGGTAAGAAAAGAATTGACAACACTTCACCATTCGGACATCGCTATATACAACCCTAACCCATCCACGTAAAGCCAATATTTTGATTCTAAGCTTCGACCGCAATCGCAGTGCCATTGGTCAACTTGCTAGGCGGGGGAATGTAGGTCTACGAAGAAAGGACAATGAGCTACAGTCGATGCGAATGAACGGGAGCAACGTACCCTGGCTTTGAAACCTCCAGCCACAGGCAGGCGAGTGACGCCGGACATCAGCCAACTGTCCACTTCCGCAGCGGCGCCACGGCCTTCCTGGATACCCCACACGATCAGCGACTGTCCGCGGCGGCAATCACCAGCAGCGAAGACACCCTCGACGCTAGTGGAGTATTTCTGTGAACGGCGTGAGCACCCAGCTGAATTTATATTTCTGCCAAATAACACACCTTGGGAGGAGTCTGGATGTTAGTCCTCGGGTCAGTCTTCACTCCAAGGGCATTGACGAGCTCCTGCTGAGGACCCAAGAAGCCGAGCGCCAGGAGGATCAACTGAGCCGGGAAGAACTTCTCCGACCCGTTGACCTCCTCCATCTTCCACTTGCCTCCGCTGTCCTTCGTCCACTCAACGCGCACTGTGTTGACGCCCTGCAGCTTCCCGTTCTCATCGACCACGAAATCCTTCGTCGAGATCGAGTACTCGCGGGGGTCGTCGCCAAAGTGCGCGGCGACCTCGGTATGGCCGTAGTCGGTACGGAAGATGCGAGGCCACTGCGGCCATGGGTTCTCTCGGCTACGCGACGACGGCGGCTTGGGCAGCAGCTCAAAGTTGGTGACGGACTTGGCACCGTGACGGAGAGCGGTTCCGATACAGTCATTACCGGTATCACCGCCACCAATGACAATGACGTCCTTGCCTCTCGCACTGATGTACCGGCCATCCTGGTGCTCGCTGTCCAGCAGAGATTGAGTGTTCAACTGGAGGAACTCCATCGCAAAGTGGATACCGTCTGCCTCACGGCCGGGGATCCTCAGATCACGAGGCCACGTAGCGCCGGTGGCCACGACAACCGCGTCATGTTGAGAACGGATTTCATTGGCGTCGACGTCGACACCGACATGAGCATTGGGTACGAACGTCACACCCTCAGCAGCCATGAGATCCAGACGGCGTTGAACGACTGCCTTGTCCAGCTTCATGTTCGGAATACCGTACATCAGCAGGCCACCCATGCGGTCGTTGCGGTCGTAGACGGTAACGTAGTGCCCAGCTTTGTTAAGCTGGTCTGCGCAAGCCAAACCTGCCGGCCCTGAACCGATGATTGCGACTCTCTTCCCAGTGCGGAAAGTCGGGATCTTCGGCGTCATCCAACCCATCTCAAAGCCCTTGTCAATGATCGCGCATTCAATGCTCTTGATACCGACGGGAGCTTCGTTGATCCCGAGGACGCACGCGCCCTCGCACGGAGCGGGACAGACACGTCCAGTGAATTCAGGGAAGTTATTCGTCAGGAGCAGCCTGTTGAGTGCATCTTGCCATTGACCTCTGAACACCAAGTCGTTCCACTTGGGAATGATGTTCGAGACAGGGCAACCAGTATCCGACTGGCAGAAAGGCACACCACAGTCCATGCAGCGAGCAGACTGGTACTTCAGCTCGTTATCCGTGAGACGAACAGACAGCTCCTTCCAGTCCTTCACCCGCTTGCGAGGAGGGCGGTATGGTTCATGGAGGCGCTTGTACTTCATAAAGCCGCGAGTCTTATCAAGCTTCAGCATCCGCTGCTTCGTGGTGTGGTCGTCAACCATGGAATCTTCGAGATCACCGACGGAAGGTTCGTGACTCCGGCCTCGAATGGGAGTCAGCGCCGGTGTGTGAGATGCGGTGCGAGAGAAAGGAGTCCGAGGTAGGAGGATGTCCTCCATGCCTTCCGAGGCCAAATCAACCTGACTAGCCGTTCGGGACGGGATCAAATCCACGACGCTCAGCCGTGCTCTCTCCTCCAATCTCTGGCGCTCCTGTTCATCCAGTACTCGCTTGTAGTCCAAGGGCATGACGCGAACAAACATGGCAAGGAGATGGTGGAAGTCACGCAGCACGCGATCAGCTACTTCTGACCCGGTGTAGTGGCGGTGGTCTTCGATCAGGCTTCTCAACTCCGCGATTTCCTTGGGGTCGGTGACCTTCCCGAGTTCAACCATCTCCATATTCACCTTGGTAGCGAAAGTGTGTGCCATGTCCAAAACGTAGGCAATACCGCCGCTCATACCAGCTGCGAAGTTACGCCCGGTTGTACCCAAGACAACGACCCTTCCGCCAGTCATGTATTCACAACCATGGTCGCCGGTGCCTTCTACCACAGCATGAGCACCGGAATTACGAACAGCGAAACGCTCCGCAGCGATACCGCGGATGAAGGCTTCTCCCGACGTCGCGCCGTACAAGCAAACATTTCCGACGATGATGTTCTCTTCGGCTTTGAACGTCGACTGCTTGGGAGGGTATACTATCAACCGACCACCAGAGAGACCCTTGCCAACATAGTCGTTGGCGTCGCCTTCCAGTTCAAGCGTGATGCCAGGCGCCAGGAAGGCACCAAGAGACTGACCGGCAGAGCCTTGCATCCTGATGTGAATGGTGTCCTTCGGCAGCCCTTCCTCTCCATACAGTTTCGAGACCCGATAGGATAACGAAGTTCCGAGGGCACGATCAGTGTTCGTTACATCACACTCGATGTGGACGGGCAAGCCCTTAGTCAAGGCTGGCTCCGCCTCGTCGATGAACTTGTTGTCCAACCGGATGTACAGTTTATGATCCTGTTGCCGAACACGATAGGTAGCGGCGCCAGGACGCATTTGCCAAGCGGGTTTCAAGATAGCGGAGAGATCTAAGTGAGCTGTCTTGGGCGTCCTGAGTTTCTCATCCAGCTTGAGCATGTCGGCTCGTCCAACCATTTCATTGATGGTGCGGAAGCCAAGCTTAGCCATGTATGACCGGAGATCTTCGGCAAGGTAATAGAAAAAGTTAATGACCTGCTCCGGTTGACCTGCAAACTTGGCTCGCAGTTGAGGATCCTGTGTTGCAATGCCGACTGGACAAGTGTTCACTATATGAGTTTTGAGAACGTTAATAAAAAGAAGACGGAAATTGAGGGCAGTACGACTTACGATGACACTTCCTCATCATGATGCAACCCATAGCGATGAGGGGTGTCGTCGCGAATCCCCATTCCTCAGCACCGAGAAGACACGCTATAGCAATGTCGCGACCCGTACGTAGTTGACCATCTGTTTGCACGGTTACTCGACCGCGCAAGTCATTCAGGACAAGGGTCTGATGAGTCTCAGCCAGACCAAGCTCCCATGGAAGGCCTGCGTGCTTGATACCGGTCCATCTAGACGCACCAGTACCACCGTCGTGACCAGCGATGAGGATGTGATCAGCCTTGGCCTTGGCCACGCCGCTGGCTACGATACCAACCCCAACCTCGGATACCAGCTTCACTGAGACGCGGGCACGTGGGTTTGAACACTTGAGGTCATAGATCAATTGCTTCAAATCTTCGATGGAGTAGATGTCGTGATGCGGAGGGGGTGAGATGAGTCCGACTCCGGCGGTGGAATGACGAGTGCGAGCGATGGATCCGGAGACTTTGTGTCCAGGCAATTCTCCTCCCTCGCCGGGTTTAGCACCTTGGGCCATCTTGATCTGCAATTCGTCCGCATCCGACAGATAATTGGAGGTGACACCAAAGCGTCCAGAGGCAACTTGTTTGATCGCAGACCTCATAGTATCACCATTAGGCATGATGTTGGACCGTTCTGCATCCTCACCCCCTTCGCCCGTGTTAGATTTGCCACCAAGTCGGTTCATGGCGACAGCAAGAGCCGAATGGGCTTCCATCGAAATGGAACCATACGACATGCCCCCCGTCACAAACCTTCTGACAATCTCATTCCATGGCTCGACTTGATCAATAGGGATCGGTGTCGCATTCTCGTAACGGAATTCAAGCAGACCACGCAAATGGATCTTTCTGGCCTGCTCGTTAGCATTCTTCGTATACGCGTCGAATGCCGACTGGTTCTTCTCCCTCACAGCATCCTGGAGGTTCGCAATGCCAGCGGGGTCGTTCACGTGAGGCTCCCCGCCGTCGCGCCAGTGATACTCTCCGGACTCCGGCATACCTGGAGGAATGATAGTCTCCCGGCTAGGCCAGCCACGCTCATGGAGTTCAAATGCATCGAGAGCAAGGAGATCGAACGTGGCACCCTGGACACGACTGGCGGTACCAGTGAAGCACCGCTCAACGACCTCGGTATGAAGGCCAAGTGCTTCAAAGATCTGCGCTCCCTTATACGACTGTAGGGTCGAGATGCCCATTTTGGACATCACCTTGAGGATACCATTATCGACCGACTTGCGATAATTGTCAATGAGGTCATCAACGGTCTTATCGTCTTTGGTCCTGCGCATGGGTTTAATGAGAAATTTCCAGATGAAAGTTTATTTGACACTCACAATCCCTCGCGCTCAATTTTGTGGATAGCTTCCATCATTAGCCATGGACAAATCGCGTCCGCGCCATACCCCACGAGGACGCAGAGATGGTGAACTTCGCGAGCCTCGGCAGTGTCCACCATGAGGGCAACTTTGGCACGCTTCTTTTGCGAGACAAGGTAGTGATGGACACCTCCGCAAGCAATGAGAGCTGACAATGGGACACGTGTCGGCCCCGTGTCGCGGTCGGAGAGAATGATGACCTTGACGCCGTCTTCGATAGCTTGGGCAGCTTCGCTACAGACCCGGTCGAGTGCAAGCTTATACCCCGGAAGACCTTCCTCCTTCGGGAATGTGATATCGATGGTTCGTGAGGGCCACCGGGAATAGGCGACCTTCAGATTCTTCATGGCATTCATCTCCTCGATGGAAATAATAGGAGAAGGCAGAAGGATACGATGGCACTGCTCCGCCTTCATCTCCAGAAGGTTACCCTCTGGGCCCACATATGCTTCCAAGGACATGACGATCGCCTCCCGGATAGGATCAATAGGAGGGTTGGTGACCTGTGCAAAGAGCTGACAGAAATAATCATAGATGAGCCGAGGCTGAGTCGCCATGCAAGCAAGCGCCGCGTCGTTGCCCATGGAACCAAGTGGTTCTTTCCCATCTGCCACCATAGGCAGCATCAGCAGGTTCAGCTGTTCGACCGTGTAACCGAAGGCCTGTAACTTGGGATCCTCGCTGAGTGAATAGTCGTCCGGCTTAGCCTTGATATTTACAGAACGCTCAACACGCTTGACGATGTTTGGTACCTGGAGCACGTGCGTCTCGATCCACGATGCGAAGTTCTGCTTGCTAGCAGTTGCGTGCTTCAACTCCCTATCGTCGACTATGCGCCCTTCCAAAGTATCAACGAGAAGCATACGACCCGGCTTCAGACGACCCTTGGAGACGACCTTCTCGGGAGGGATGAAGATCGCTCCGACTTCTGAAGCACAGACCATAATATCTTCGTTGGTGACTACATATCGACAAGGTCTCAGACCGTTTCTGTCGAGGTTAGCACCACAGTACCGCCCATCGCTGAACGTGAAGAGTGCTGGACCGTCCCAAGGTTCTTGCAAACATGCCGCCCAATTATAGAATGCGCGCTTCTCCGGCTCCATATTTTGATTGCCTTGCCATGCTTCAGGAATCAGCATCATGACGGCCTCAGGTAACGTCAAAACACCATTCACAACGAGCAACTCGAGCACGTTGTCAAAGGCAGCGGAATCAGAGCCGCCAGCCTCGATGATGGGGTACAGCAAGTCTAGTTGATCGCCAAACAACGACGACGCAAGTACCCCTTCGCGAGCGCGCATCCAATTTTTATTTCCCCTCACGGTATTGATCTCGCCTGCCGCACGGTTTTATGATGAGCCTCACATCCCCACAGTATAGAACATCACGCACCGTTATGGGCAGCCCATCTCATGGGCTGTGCGCGGTCCCAGCTAGGGAACGTGTTCGTGGAGAATCGAGAATGTACAAGAGTGAAATGCGATCGGTATAAGACGTGATTCAGGTCGTGGTAGTAATTGTACACTTGCGGGGGGGATAACTGGCCCTTGTACACGATGTTCTTGGAGGATAATGAGCATACATAGAAGCCCTTCGCGAGAGTACTTTACACCAAAGAGTACAGGAATTCAGTTACCGCAGCAAGGATAAAAGAGGGAATGACAGACATGCTATGTGTCGCGTGCTTGCGAAGGATATACAATTGACGTTCAAAATACTTCGCGTCGAAGGAGCCGCCCTGACTGGCAGCACCATCGCCATAATGCGAACGGAGGACGACGAAAGGTTGAAAGATAGCGGGTTCCTTGCTGCTCGCTGCGGGTCCGAGGATAGTTCCATCGGTAGGGACTTCTCGCCAGCCGAGCACTCGCAGCCCAAGCTCAATGGCCAGCTTGGAGAATACGGTTTGCTGCTTCTGGAGTTCGACAGGATCGTTGCGTTTAAAAAACACGTTGCCGACCGCATACTCGCCTACTTCTGGGAGGGTTGCACCGAGTTCCCTTTCAGCCTCCCGCTTGAAGAAATCGTGTGGGATGCCTGTCATGACGCCTGCGCCATCTCCGTCACGGCTGTCCGCACCCGTAGCACCTCTGTGAGTTAACGCGCAAAGTAGTTGGCGCGCATCGGAGACAATCTTGTGGCTCTGACCACCTTTGATATGACAGATAAACCCTACTCCGCAAGCATCCTTTTCGTTATCGTTCAGGTAAAGACCTTGGTTGGCGGGCATAGCACCGGCCCACGAGTCGGGATCACGCTCAACAGCGTTGAATCCATCGATGAAGTCTTCGGAAACGGTATCTGCGACGAGGGGGAGTTCCGTATGACCAACCGCAGGGGCCATAGAATTTGTGCGATGTTTGAGAAAGATCTGCTACTGCTGCTCGCAACGAACAAAGCTGGGACAAGACGGCAGAGCAGGCGCACGACGATGAAGACGACGAGCAACTAAGAGCAGACAGCGGAAATTTTCGTGTTCGACCAATGTAAAATACGAGGATGGTCAGCTCGCCGAGGAAAGGTTCGCCTAATCGTAAAGCAGCTATCGGAGCCGGACCAACTTCGGAATTCGGCCGACAATCCGACTGCCCTGGCGGGGCCCCTGAGGTTCCCGGGAGAGTTGAGGACCTTCGCTGGACCGGCGGACTGGGCCGGAGAGCCAATCACCGCTTATCTTTTTCAATCTCAGATCCACCCCAGATGCCAGGTACGCGCTTCCACGTTGGCTCACCGGGCGGCCCGGGCCCACGTTCTTTGTGGCTGCTGTCGCTGTCTTCGGACTGCACGGTCGCCCGTCGGAAGTCCCCTCCACTGCATGTTCACTCACGACTGCGACAGGCTCCGATATTTCTCAATTGTCAGTGCTGCCGCAGACACAGCACGCGTATCGCATCACTTTTTGCTTTTCCGGATCACGGGTTTCCCTTCTGGTGTGGCGGGAAGATAATAATCTGGAAAGCCACAATGTAATAGTGGGTGTGCATGGACGAGTCTCACAGTTTCAATGACACCGTAGCTGTCTGCCCCACGGCAATGTCCCTAAATGGCTGCCCGCTCGACAGTAAACTCGGTGCATCGCAGCAGAGGGCTCGGAGTTGTCTGAATTCTGAAGAGGATGCGCACGAACTGTGCTGTGAGACAAAACTTACAGTATGCATCTACGCACTGCTGCCGTAAACCCTCTAGATGCAAATCCAAGTGGTTCTATTCTTCTTTACGATCCTTCCGAGGGCCTTTGTGGCACTTCGCAGGCTTCGTTGTAAAGGGCCCGAATGCCGTACGTGCGATCATTATACGTGCTGTTTGATTGCAATACTGCCGTCCGATACAGGTGGCGGTGGCAATGTTGGACAATCTCCGTGTACGGTTTCCGAAAGGGACTCAGAAGCCTTTAAACCTCGCACGAGTTGTATATTTATCTGAGAAAAAGGGATCGCAGCAAACGCATAGGAATCCCTCCGGACGCCTAGACCGCCGCTACTGGAGCATTGAAGAAAGGTGGTAGCATCGGCCGACCACTACATCATGCGATATGCGCCATTTCCGTGAGTTACCCGCGAAGCAGAGCAGCGAGCGCTCATTGATTCTCTTCAGCAAACCATGTCAGGAAGTGGAGCTCTGCATAATGAAATCTAACCTCCAAGGGGAAATGTATAGGTCTGATCCTACAGTTTCTAGAACAAGGCTCTGTTCATTCTAATGTCAATGTCGCAGGCTGCAACGCTCGAAACCGTGGGCTGAGAATTCGTGGGCTCCGGGTCCTGGAACACGAGGGAGCCTGAATTTTGTGCCAGAGAAGCTTGATTATGTCCACCTTCCAGACATATAACCTTCGAGAGCGAACAGCTTAAGTGAAGTCTACTACTCATGATTCTTGTTGCGATCCATCTCCCGTGGAACTGAAGAACTACACTCGAGCTTGTGAATAGTACGGGCTTTAGCGGCCGCTGTAATGAACTGATCTTCCCTGCCGTAGTGCCCTTGCCCTGTATGAAGTCAAGAACTCGGTCTTCCTATGAAATGTGCTCTAAGGGACACATGAGGGTAGTGCAAGATGGCGTTCTTTGCCCGCAAGTCCGCTGCAGAACGTTGATTAGCCTCCCTAATTCCGAAGCAGGAATGATGAGCTCGTCATCCATACAAGAAAATTTGTCTGTACTATATTAGGTCACCGTACCTCGTTGTTTTAGGAGGGTACCCCTGCAAGGACCTATTATCTCTCGTTCATTCCGATCGCGTCGAGTATCATACTTCGTCCACAAGAGCTTCCGGTCCTTCTTCCTTACGTAACTAGGATACCCTAATAGGCAAGTGTTGTAGAACATCAAATCGTCTGTTAACAGTCAGACACTCCAGACCATCAGACGAGGAAAAGAGGGTAGAAAGGGGGGAGACACGACAATAATTTTACCCCCTGCGTTTCTGGTGAGTAAATGCGGAGCCTTTCCCCAATCCAGATCTTTCCTTGCATTTGCCACACTCAACGTCAGCAGAATATTCATTGGACCTCGCGGCCTGGCGGTCATCGGATGAATTGAAGCTAATGTCTATCCCTTGAATACACATATGAAGTCATTCCACTCGCATGGTCCAGGCCAAGCTCCTTCTTAGATTGTTGACCATCTGATGCTAGACTGTACGTGGTGATCCCGAAGGCGACCTCGTTGACACGCACGCATCCAGAATGGGAACTGTCCATAATGCGTTCTCTATTGGGCAGGATTTCGAATACCCCTGGTAGGTTATGTCGCCCCGTATATTCGGACGAAAGACAACCTCCAGCCGGCGGTCGTGCTTGATTACTGTCGGGGACTTTCTTGGTCTTACTTAAGGCCGATCGCATACCCTTCGGTTATGCCGCTCAGAATATGCCACGGGGCAAGCAAAATATTAGCTTTATGTATCGAACTCATTCAGTCGGATAAATCGGGATTCACGCAAGCCTAGATCGCTCTGTGGTCGGTCAACGAGGCAGAATATCGCGAATTGACAGAGTCCGGCGATGATGCCCTACCCGGTGGATTTTTCGGAGATATTGAACAATAAACTGAGTATGCTCCACTGGCAGTATTTCCGGCTATCCTGCAATAGGTGAGTTTAGTATATTGTAAGAGAAAACGAATTTCCTCTTCCTCTTCCCTGAACGGAGGAGTAAATACAGACAGGGCACAAACCCAGCTACGTTGATACAAAGCAAACTCGGCAAGTCTCAGACATTGCATAGCGCCCGGTGTCATAAATAGTTCAACTGGCACCGTCATGCAAAGCGCAACAGACGGCAGCTACAGTAAAGATTAACAGACAGTTTGTGTTCAGGCAGTGAAAATACCTTTGTGATGTCCGTTGTACTGACGAACAGTTTCCCCCGAAGCCATCTCCCATAGGCGAGCTGTATGATCGGAGGACGCTACACAGCATCAGCGAGGACCCACGGCTTCCGCGGCCTGACTTACCGGTGACAAGATACGCTGAATCCGCACTGAAAGCGCAATCCCACACCCAGCGCTGGTGCCCTTGCAGAATTTTCTCCAGTTTAAATTCATAACTATGTGACACCGACCAGATCTTCACGGTAGTGTCCGCCGAACAAGTGGCAAGATATCTATGAAAACGCGTTCCGCATTGTCTCCTAAAAGTCTTGCGCGCCTACGCACTTTGTATCGGGGCTCAACAGGCAACGAGTGAGATACTTGTTATGAGCTTGGAATTTGGTCACGGGCTGGAACCGTGGAAATTGAGAACTCTCTTCATTGACTCGCCAAACATAGCACTTCCCCTGTTGACAGTAGATAGTAAGCTACAAAACTGTTAGCATGTTAAGCATCACTCACCTTATTGTTCCCGGCTACTAGACAAGAGCCGTCAGAAGCCAGAGTGACTGAGCGGATCGGGATTTCCCCCGCCGGGGTCTGTCAGATGTTCAAACTTCTGGTGAGCGAACGGTGGCCAGAATGACGCACTAGTTCGTGTGTACATATATTTTCGGACAAATCCCACTGCTTGATACTTCCGGCTTGATCGCAAGATATCAGCTCGCCTTGATTCGGATGGACGACTACGTCGTTCACTATAGGGATCGCCTTATGCACAGTATTCATATGAGACGAGACAACATACCTGGAGCCCCGTTGTCATAGTTTCTATGAAGTTGACCGCTCCTGATTTCGGATGGCTAAGTACTTGAGGTACAATGTCTGGCGTTCGCTTACCGCAAATCCCATATTTTAATGGTACCATCTTCGCTGCCTGTGACAAGCCATTTTCCTTCACTGTGAAATGAGACAGATGTTACATTGTTTTTATGTCCGTTCTGGCCGTCAAAGGATACAAGCTGTCTCTCACTCAGTCTGTGCTGCGACGAGCTGAGGGAGAGACGAATTTACTGGTGTAGACGATGCGCTCGCGATATCATAGATATTGACCTTTTTGTGGATGGCCGCTGCTAACAGACGTTTGCTGGTTTATCACGGTATCAGCGGTCCGAATGTCTGGGATAGATCACACGTGGTGCGCACTCTGGAGAGATGGCAAGGCGATTAATTTGCTAATGTCCCAGAGACACATACGTGTGTGAGATGGGCAGAGAAAGCAGAAGATTTTCTTACGCCTGATTCCCCCGACCGAGTGATTGTGCGAGAACAGATACCGCTCCAAGCTTCCCAAAAGCGGATTTCATGATCATACGAGCCCGTAACAAGTACTACGGACATATCATGGCGAGGCGCGGTCGTCTTATGCCCGAGGGTTTGAGCAGGCATAGGCGCGTCAACGGACGAGGTCGTGCGGAGAGGCTGGAAGCAGGATGTGCTCAACTCCAAAGACGATCGAGGTAACAGGGAAGCACGTGGCGCAGGTCGGCGCCTGTAGACACTGGGCAGTGGCAGCAGCTGCTTGCCGCTCTTCCCAGTGAGAACTCTGAATCTCGTGTGCCTGTGCGCTCTGTAGTCACCCTGTTCAGCCATGAATTTCATAGCCGACTTATATCCGGATAATAAATGTCGCGGTCGAGGGATTTTCTCAGAATTGGCGTCATTAATTTCCCTGGCCGTTTCCCCTAGTGCTCCTCGATCTAGCGGTGCCAGACTCTCCTCCCTTATCTGTGAGTTGAATCTTCTCATCTCAAGCCAGTGCCATTGCAGCCTTCCACCTGCATGCAGATTACGTGTAGCCGACACCTAGCGCTTCTGATTCTCATGTCTTTGGCACGACCTGATTCTGACGCACGTCTGGCTGTCAAAGTCCCTATCCCGCGAAAGATTGACTAGGGGATCCGACTTGACCTTCTAGCTTCTCTTTAATAGACCTTGGCTAGAACCAGTGCGCCCACTGAACCTTAACCAAAACCTGTGTTTCCACATCACCATGACATTGCTGGTATACCTTTGCCTGTCTCGTCTACCCAATGACAGCCGGTTTTTCTTCGCGTCTCGTTGCATAAGCGAGCTCTGCGAGGGTAAGCAGACACCTTGTTATGAGATGTCCGGTCTCATTTTCATTACTGTCCTGGATGGTTCCACGCTCCAGACAGACGTACGCAAGTCGTTCGATCGACAAGTTACGAATGCCTCCTCCGCCTTCCGGGTATATAAGAGGGTAAGTACAAATGTCACCTACTCACTGCAACGCACCTCTGTGTGCCTCTACTATTTCGGCTATGAACAACGCTTTCCAGGTGAGCTCTAACGTCGGCTTCGTGTGTCTATCTACCATTGATTTCCTATGTCTGAGCAGAACGGTACCCGTGTCTTCTTCTGGGATGCTTCGGGTAATGTGAAGTACGGCACCGTAAAATCTACTAGCCGTCTAGGAGATGTGAGTTCAGTACGACACTAAACGCGGTTACGTTCACTTATAACAAACTCGCAGGGAACCCAGATTGCTGTCATTAAAGTGGATGGTAGTGGGGAAGAAGTCCAGCTACCGTTCGTAGTTGTCGTACTCGTCTTATCCTCGACGGAGTATGACGAGCCCCCTACACAGCGTCTCAACCGTGTCAAAAGTACAATGAAGACGTTTACTAATTTCTCTCCAGCCCATACCCCACGGACTACTTAGACGCATTGCAATAGAATCCCGACCGTAGACTTGACGGACTTATTGGACTTTCAGCCGTGCACCGCCGTCCTATGTAGCACAAGTTTCTTTTGCGCCCCTGTTTGATGTATGTATAGCAGAGACCGTAATCACAGTGCGTACTTTAAGTTCATTGCCTACTTAGTAAATATCTCGCTTCGCAAGCGCTTTGATGACGAACGTCTTGTCATCGGCCCTGAGATGTTTGTTCGCTGAGTTACAAACCCAGCAGTGCACCCCCCAAAGCCTCATGTCGGAGAATATCCAGTGCAGGATCTAGGGTTGGCATCGGAGGAGCGCCGTCCTCCGAGATCGACATCTTTTACCTTCCACGACTGAGTCCGACTATCTGTGTGCACAAAATGTCTCATCAAGTGGTGCAGCAGGTTTGAGAGGGAGCACGAGCCCTCTGAGGAGTACCGCCCAGCGGTCGGTACCCAGATTGCTGGTCGGCGGTTACTACCGAGCCTGGAATTCTGTATTCGTGGAGGTACTCTATGCTGCAGGTCTGGCGTACGGGACGGACGGAAGCACCAGCCAAACTGACGAAGTGAATATTCCTAGAATAATCCCAAGAACAGACCTCGGCTGAAGTCCTGTGGCAGACGGTTCCACGCACGGAAGGGAACAATAATCACACGCCGATATATCCGCCATCAACCTCCGTACTACTCCCTTGACTAGCCCGCCCCATAGTACATACTGCGGAAGTAGGAAACAGGGATAGATGCGAGCCTTCGGAGTCGTGAGCTCTCACGTTCGATCAAATCACGTCGACGGCAACGAGTTTCGCAACAAGGTATGAGCCTGAAGGCTTGCCGGTCCTCCAGTACCATGTCACGTCAAAAGTGGAATGTGTGAACACGAACTCTCATCGCCAACGTTTTATTGAGCTACTCGCTCCAGCCGTCTCTCAGTTCAACGAGTATTAAAGAGCCACTTACCTATTTGTGCTTCAAACTGCGGCGACTAGAGCAGAAGCCTTTTGCGAATTCCATAGGCGATTGAAAGGCATACAAGGAGCTCCTCGGTCAGTTAGACTTGCGAGAAGAGTCATTTCGTGACGCGTGATTATATGTCAATCGACTTCATCCGGCCGGTCGAATATCGGACGAAGGATGGAGCCGTGGAGAGCCTAGATAAGTACGGAAGTTCTTCAGCTCATCAATGTTCCTCCACACAAACTCAGCGGATATACCACGTATGGCATTGACCACTTATCATGAAATCGGACCATGTTAACAAACTTTATAACCAATCAAGAAAACTAACAGTGCAGAACTCAGCGGGAAGACCGGTGATTTATATTATCCTGGGCCCTATGTTTGGTTCACACGACAATGTCCAAACCGACGAAGAGGCGCATCTGGTCCGGCTCTTCAGAGTTAGACGTGGCTCTGACGTGCACGGACAAGCGGGAGTCTCGGCTAGTCGACCAAGCGGCCTATTACGTGACTTGCCCATGAGATTCGGTGGAGGAATGACATACGAAGCCGCGGCAAGTCGCGTTTAGTAGAACGAGCTTGTGGGTCCCATCTTCACCGTGGCACGATGAAATTTCGCAAGATGTCCTTTGCCCCGTTGCTCTCTACACGAGATTAGGCCGGAAGAGGTCCTGCCAACCACAAGGTGTTAGTATCACGAAATACAGGATCCATGTTGCCATAACATACGCGAATCATGATACTTAGCCGCTGCCCGCCCGCTAATTTTTCACCACGGAACTCTCGTGCGTTCAGAATCGAATGCTTGTAGTTGTAACGCAAGTTGCCCCTTACGACATAGCTCAGCACGCAGTGATCCCCCTAGGACGTGAACGGACCTCAACGACTCACTCCTGGATATAGAGGCTTCCGCTCGGCAGCAAGACGTCGTAGTTATCTGATTCATCCATGGACTCTAGACGAAGTATCCGGTCCGCCCCAAGACTGACTCCTAATATCCAATTTCCGCTGGCAGTGACGTTGTCGACATGCGGACGTATCTCCCCATCCGACGCGAGGTGCAGTAGGTGTGTTTGTACGTCCCTGGTCGGAGTTAAGTCGTAGAGGCGCTTTAGCACGGGTGTTAAGCCCTGCAGTTCATGTTCAGGCCATGCCGTGAGATGAGTTTCCCTGTAATTCCTGATAACGCCATCCAAATGACCCTGCTGAGAGGTGTTAGGAGACTATCAGCAGCGTGTAGGTCGACTGACTTCGTAGAAATGATAATATCTATCCGGAAGGAATATGTCCGCCGCCTTGGTCGGCGATATACATGGAGGTAGCGGCGGGAGAGATTTGCGGTGGCGAAGAGCCTGTCTGCTTTCGACTGCATCTAACTTCGTGAGCGACGCCTTCAGCAGAACACATTGTTCGTGAAGTGAGAAGTAGTCGGGTATAAACGTTAATTCTGAAGGCACTTCCTTGGACAGAATGGCTGCGGCACTTAGGCAGCGGGGGGCCCTCGCCCTTTGGTCACAGTGCACAGTCTTTCCAATCTTCGAACGTAAGAATCTCATCCTCAGCGGAGAGAAGGCAGAGTTAGACAGAACGGACAAAGAGAGATCAAGTCACACGGTTCAAGAACAAACCCCGGCTATACCCGCGGCATTCGCTCCGAGTTGGCCTCCGAGGATGGCTTGCCCGCGCGAGCGCAGGCTGTCTTCCTCCCTTGTGTACTCTGCCGATGCCAGACGCTAAAGATGATAGCATACAGGCGCAGCAAGGAAGCTCTGTTTACGCTGCGCTTGCGCGAACGACTACAAGAAGCATCGCTCTCTACTTCTCGAGACCAGTACGGTTGTTCAGACCGTCCAAAGGTACGGACATCCATCTTCATACAAATTCAAGCGTGACGACCGTGTACTATGCAGTCACCGGATGGCAGACTCTCAAAAGCCTTGCAATTCAAGAAGGCGTGACCTTATCGCCAAAATACATTTATCGCTTGGTGCGGGAACAAGGGGTTCGTCTTCTGAAGTATCCATGGTACGTCTTGCATAGTGACTCACATCATTCTATGTACCATGCATAGTTTATGGTCATACCCAAACATTTCATTCCGCCTATGGTTGTCAACGCCATCTTAGGCACGGTGCTATGGGCTTCATATGCAGAAGCATCGCTGCTCCTTGAGTCCCGTCTCCAGGGTCACCCTTTGATATCCACGGCATTATCCGGGGGTATAGCTGGAGGAATGCAAGCTGTAGTTGCTGCACCGGTCGAGAACGTCAGATTAGTGCTCGAAGGCGGTTCCTCAGCAGGCAGCTGGGGCCATGCTTGGAAGGAAGTCTTTAGAGGGACACATTCCCAGACATCACAAATATCAAAAAAGAAGATTCAAGATGCGCGGATGTACCGGCATTGGATGAGGGAAGTGAAAGGTATGGCGGGTCGTGGATGGGATGGTTGGGGTTGGGGTTGTGCCAAGGACATTTGCGGTGAGTACTAAGTGTGACAAGAGTTGGATTTTCTCACATCGTTCAATCTGACACAGGTTTCTCCGTATTTTTCTCCATATTCGAAGCCACGCGGGGTGTCGCCGCTAATGTAAGAAAGACATGTCAAAGGACCATAGAAGCCCTTCGCTCAGTGGACGGGGATGCCTCTGTCGTCCGTCACGCCCCGCGTCTTGTCCATGCTACCACACTAGTATCTGGAGGCATACTTGCCGGAATCTCATATGAATTGGTATGTAGGCCCTTTGACGTCGCTCGGAAGGCAGTCTACGTCGAGAAGATAGCGGCTGTGCGGGGCCATAGACCAGCAGCGTACATACACGCATTACTGATGAAGGTGCAAGAAGATGGTCCTATTAGTCTATTCCGGGACCCGAGCCTGCTCCGTGCCACTAGGAGCCACTCGGGTCCATCCAGTAGGAAGAGAGTGGAGGCTATGCTACGTATTCTTGCCAGAGCCGGTCCATGGGGAATAGGGTTTCTGGTGTGGGAGGCTTTCGGGCCAGGAATATCATGACCGAATCTTGTTCTTCGCATTGGATACTATGCTGCCTGCACAAATGCGAGATGGATCACAGTGAATCCTCAACATTCAGGATATAGCTGGAGACCACGTGGGAGGCGCAACGCCACCGGATCGTGCGGTGGTTATCCTAGCACCGTTGCCTGGGTCTTGCAAGCGTTGTATGTTCATATATGAGAAACAGACATACCAAACAATTAATATCTGACTTTTTCCGCTTCTTTTGTCACAAACTCTGGCCCTACAACACGCGCCAAATTAAGGCCATACTAGTACGTGACATCTATGGACGACTGTCACACCAGGTGACAGTAGGACCCCGGCATACTGGTATATATGTTTGATCCTAGTGCGGACATAAACGGCCAATTTTGAGGCCCTATGTCGGATATTTAGGCGGACATAAAGCCCAAAATTTCGGTCCATGTCCGGTATATCACGGCGGACACAAGGGCCTTGCCGGTCTTGGTGTCCGATCACCTGGCGGACATACCAAGTCGTCGAAGTGTCACACCCAGTAGTCCTTGTACTAGGTTGAGTGGTGTCTCTTATGCTTCTCAGTCAACTGTCAGCTCGTCTCGTGTATATCCAGGTATATCCTCAGCAACGGTGAATGAAATGCAAGCTTTGGAAACAGTGGTGGATCTTAGGAAGACTGAAATACAATATCCCGGAGTAATCATGTCACGATCTACTCGTTGCAGCGTTGGGCGTGTGCCGGTTTCGAGGTTGGATCCGTTTGGCGGACACACCGGGGGGCGCCCGAGCATAGGTCACTTATGCGGACATAAGCAGCCCAATTTGGGCTGACCGGATCCTAGAGGCGGACATATCCGGTCCAAATGTGTGAGGCCATAAGGGCCGAAAATCGGGCACTTAGGATCAAACATCAGTACCCATATGCCGGGGTCCTGTGACAGTGCGCCTCCCTGCG